CTTCTGCGTGGTAAAAACATTATTCTTACCGTGTGATTACTGAGAAGCAGTTGAACTTCCTGTAATCGAAACAACTTTCGAACTGCTGTATATCCTAGTGAAAGATCCTTCAGGAGAGATAATGACAGCTCCAGAATCTGCTCATTTGTTGCCCAGTACTTCAGGTTTGTTAGACTGAAACATCGAAGATTAATTGTGTAATCATGTAAAATGGAAAATTCGTGCCGCTTACATTTTCTGAACAATAACACTGAGCATATCTGTTTCGTCAGAAACACCTAACTCCGTGTTTAGCTTGTCATACACAGGGCTCGATTTGGTTATCTGTAAAGACTCATGAATATGGATAGGAAAGCATGCGAAGGTGCACAGAAAGTACAATACCTGGTCCATAATATATGCACGACGGAACTGTTCTAGAAGATGAATGAAGGCCACCTGAATGCAAATTATGAAGCACCGAGCTTATTCTTAGGGCAGGTAGGAAACTGACTCACAAGCAGGGTTAACTGCGTCGGATGCTGGTTTCAGACATACGACCCCTTTCACTTCACCTCCAATGGGTGATGTTGCAAAGAAAACGGTATATTTTTACTTATTGATAGCCACAAGTGAACACCGATACTCCATTTTTCTGCAAATTCACTGTGGAACTCCTCCCCACCCTACTTTATCCCTTGATCCTGGGCAAAAAGTATCCGACTCCTGGCTCAGAAACGCTTCTCCGCGTCATTTCAAGCTGATTCATTTGGTCCTTATCAGGAAAGTTCCATCGAATGCAACTGTTATCAAAGCTCCTTTTCTTAGCCCCCATTTTGATTCTCATCCTTACACCCCCAGAACAGAATGGAGTGATCCCTACGACTTGACTTTTCGCCGACAACTGTGGCGGATGCCGATTTCAGTTATACGACCTCCTTCCAGTTCACCTCCAATACCGATGGGGCTAAGAAAACGGTATAATCACTCCTTGATAGTATTTCGACTTACGAAAAGAAATTAATAAGCAAAGATTAGTGGAATGTGCCTTTGAATAAGGATTCAATGCAAAAATCTACATATGCTGTCGACGCGTCGATCTGTCATACATCTAGCAGGCCCTAACGCACCGCAAAGCACAATCATCCAGAGGAGCTAGTTAACTATAAACGTAAAACACAAATAGAAAACCTTTGCATACCTCAAGACGAACATTTCCTTTCCCTGGATTGGCGTTAACTGTTGTAGGAAAGATAAGTCGATTGTCACTGATTCGCATGAATTTTAGGCACCTGAAAATGTATGATAACCCCACTTGATCAGTAGGATAGGTATACCAATATATAGGCTTACCAACATGACTATTGTCAATTACAAGAAAAAAGCCCCACCTCGCCACAAGATCTCCATCCATTTTGTCGTGCTCCTCGTTATTTGACACAGCCGTTTTTCCAAAAACTGCAGTACCAATCAATGTTACCAACCATACAAGCCTACCTTCCGCGATAACAACTCGAATATCCTGGAAAAGCTGACAAGATCAATGACGGAAAAGATGATTTAGTACAGAGAAGAAGAAGCTGATATATTTCATCACACTTTGGATGAAATAGCCCTCAAAGAAACCTCCCTTCATGAATAATCAAGAACTTTCGTCAAATAG